GTTCTTACGTGCAACGTTTGCTCATAATTTTTACAAATGAAAAAAGTACTTGCTTTATCGATGGCATGATGTCTATATCTTACATAGTTATCTCATCGCTTTAACCTTACCTTTTAACAACAACTTGTATAGCTAATACTAAACTTATTTATCCTTAGCTGCAAGTTTCCAATAATATTCTCTAAGTTTTTTATGTCAACCTAATTATGGATAGAGAATAAAAAAGACCGTACAGTTAAACGTACAAATACATGACCATGAAAAGGAAAATGTAAAATATGTAACTATGTAGTCATGGTGATAATAAAATAACAAATTCAATAGCAAAACAGACGCATACATTACCGTGTTAAGCACTAGTATAAGAAAATGCATTACAATAAAAACTTATTTTAAAATGTTGTTGTTTTTGAAAGTGTCACCTTAATAAGATGATGTCGCTCAACATTTTATCATTCAATTTAACCAACTGTAATGAATAATTAACTTAAAGGAATCTTCGTTTGTTAAATGTTAAACAAATGTTTGCAATTTTGCGAGAAATTCTTAATTAACACGGGGGAGAATCACGCCGTTCGTTACCCAAACAAACAAGATGGCGGATGCAGCCAAAAAGTAGGTTTTTCCCTTTTTTTCTCTGAAATTCGTGATGTTCTAATGTAAAAGTACATATAACAACCTTCTCCACAATTTTCCTGGCACACAGGATTTTATTTCATGATGTTTCGTCCCGTACTTCATCTGAAATGCGCGTCACCAGATTCGAAGCGAGAGAATTTTCTACCGGTTTGATCGTGGTAACGTACGGCTTTTTCTCTAAAATTCACTGTTTCTTTTACATATATGTATATTAACTGAAACCACTGACTTAAAAAAGTTGTAATATGTTGTCAAGTAAGCAATCATGCCCATTCTGGCTAGATTTACTGCTGTAAATATTAATATCGGGCATTTTCTGGAAATGATAACGTATGGCGCACAAAATATTAATGATAACGTTCGGCGCATTTTACTACTTAGTGGATTTCCATTTGTCGAATCAGCTGATGGTGAATTATTTTTATGAAAGAAATGATAGATATCTGAAAAAAATGTTGGTCAGGTCAGAAATAATTAATTGAACAATGCTGTACCATCGGGTATACTGGTGGCATAATGGATATCCGTTGTTAATATACCAATTAAAACACACGTGTATAGTTTGAGAATATTTTGTATAAAATGCAGAATGGAAAGAAAAGCCTCATCTTTCAGGAAACATTTGTGTAGTTTTGTCTTCACATTAAATTTCGCCAGTGTTGTGCGATGATTATGGTCTGAACCCTTATCAGAAAGAAGAAACGCATTCAGCAGAGCAAAAATGTTAAAAACGGTACGGACGGCTTGATATATTTTTCTTTGCCAAAGAAAAAGTCTAAAATCATTCCTAACAAATTTCTGACAAGGAAATCTTAATATTTGAACCCGTCAAACATTTACAAAACAAAAATTGATTGCGACTAGCTTACACCCAGATGAGATGTGCCAGTGTTTATTCAATCTGGTCGCTCATTGAAAGAAAAATACATAACAGAGAATAATGAATGAGTGTAGGTTCTATATTGACTTTATTAAATGAGTTAGAAAATAATGTTATGCGAAAAACTTCAATGAATTTAGTAAATAAGAAATTTTCTGTTTATTTGACGGGCGGTTAATATTGAAACGCTTACATTTAGCGTGACGTTGTGCCACTATGACGTCAGATATATTTACGCGACATAGCCTTACAGTTTTTTTATTATAGTAGACAGTAGACATTTTATTTTATTCCAATAGGCTTTAAAGCCGATGAGGACATAAAACATGCACAATAACGAACAGTTCATATAAATCATGAAAAAGTTTGGAGAAGATCAATTTTGATTGATAAAGTAAATACCAGCCGAAATTTTCTTAAGTAGTTACATAATGAACATTTCATATCAAAATTGATCTTTAAACCACTTAACTTGACTTATAGGTCTCTAGTATATACATATACATACACACATATACATGTACATACATACAAAAAACATACATTGAATGAACCATTAATGCAAGATTGTTGTATATTAATCGATTTTTAATACATATTTTTTACGCAATTGGTTTATACAAATTTATTTTTAGTTCGATTGTGTTGGAAGCTATAAGCCTATTGAAACACTCTCGAATCCGTTCCTGGAACCAACCAGTACTAAGCAATGAATGTAAAGTTGCTCAAGGAAACAACGGCTTGCCCCTGACAGGGTTTGAACCCACGCGGTCAGCAATTTTTAGATTACTAGTCCGACGCGTTAACCACTCGGCCACGCGATTACGCAATTACCATATGTTTATACACATATCCTAAAAAATGAAGGTCCCTTCGCATCAATTGCGGATTTCAAAATTGTAAATGAAAGGAACGCCATAATTTGATCAAAACAATTACATGCAAGAATTTGCCTATCATATTCTGGCGTGTTTTTTTTCCACAAACGCCCCAACAAAAACAATAATTTATTTTTTTAAAAAGTATTGCAGGTATCAGCAATAAAAGAGTGACATTGGAATTTCCTTATCAATTTCTAGTATTAAATATAAAGTTTCAAATCGGATTATGATTTCGATGTTTTTATCCATGCCGGAAAACCCGTCTGAAACCTTTAATGCCCGACCGCTCATGCGCTTAGATGACGTCATTATCGTTTGCTACTCTTAAACTAGTGTTTACGAAGTATATGTTAGTGTTCATCCGTGTTGTTCTAACTTCGACGGGAGCGATATCGACCGGAGAATATTTCTTATTTCTTTAGAACCACGGGGAGGAAGTGTTACACGAATAATGGAGTTCTTATGATAACTTGTTCAGGAGTTCTTGTGATAAACTGTCACGGAGTTCGTCGGAAAACATCTGTATATACTACAAAAAACACTCGTTAAAATGGTTATTTTCATCGTTCAAAAAATGAGTTTTAGATGCTAAATTAAACTTTAATGATTAAACTTGTCTTACACCTTGTATTATGTGTCAAAAAACTAATTCACATGCCATTTTTAATCGCCTCTTGCTTCAAATCTGGTAGTTTTCAGTAAAAAATTCCAAATTATTTGCCTATTAACAAGTTTTGACCTGTTTATTTCTGGTCTTCATCCTTGCCATACATAATTACCTAATTATAATGCAAAATTGCAAACATAAAGCACCAGCTACAGATATATACCCGATTTTTCAAATGTTCCGGAGTTCTTGTGATAACTCTGAAGATGTCACAGAGTTCTTATGATAACTTTTGTTATTGCCAATGTGTTTCTTGCGCTAAATCACGGCTCGTTTTAGCGTTTTTTATTATTCAATAAGATTGTTAGTCATTATGAAATGTAGTACGCTCATCCTTTGCGCAAAAAAATAGGATATATAATGTTGGTTTAGAGTGAATTTTAGTTCAAGAGATATTATTTCTTACCCCCGTTTCTTTTTCAAAGTATTTTTTTTTGTTTGGCGCAGATTTTGTAGACTGGAAAAAGGATTTATATACTGGTTTCCTAGCAGTTTCCGGCTCCTAGCAGTATTCTGGCCCTTTATCATTTTCATCCAGGCATACAGACTATTTTTTCTCAGTTAAGCATCTATGTTACTGCATCAGTCAGAGAAACAATTGTTTTCTATGTAACACAGCAGTTATAATAGTACAGCGATTAATATTTTCAAAGTTTTGTCTCTTGTTTTAAGTTACATGACACTTACAAGCAACACCTGGGGAATTCTAGTTTGTATGCCCATGCACAATAACTGAAATCCCATTCTAGGTAAATCACTACTAAACAATATATTTGCAGACGACACGGAAAAGTTTGGGAAGTTATCTACATACATGTGTATTTGAATATATTAACATTGCTTATTGGTACTGAATTATATTCAAAATAAAAAAGGTTCGAAAAACTGCTATGAAATGTTGAATAAATGTGAGCAAAGTTGTTACATCTCAGGCCTTTATTCCATCAAAATGTAAAATAAAAGAGCAACATTAAAACATGATAATGCTGGAAAGGTACCTAACTTTGTTCTGTCAAAGTTTGACTCTTTGGTAGACAGATTTTTACTTTATCTGTTAAAAAGTGCGATTTGGTGCCGGGAACTGCTATGAAACCAGTAGGGCATTTATGTACGTTATAAAATGCGCTTTGAAATACTCAAATATGGTATTTTCATGCCTAATTCTCTGTCGATGTTTGATGAGTATTTCCCCTATGTAATCTTAGTGGAGGAAACTCTGCTACTTTTTCTGTAATTGATAACAAAAATATATATAGTCAAACTTAGTTCGCTTGAACCTGGAGGGACAGTTCAAATTTGTTCGAGAAATCGGTAGTTTATCATGTATCGTACTTTTTTTAAGACATAGGTGTGGAAATTATCCTGGTTATATACTTATTTATTATGGTATAAAATGATACAAATTACTTAGCCCTTAAGTAAGGGAAGCATGCCTTAAGAATGGTGGTTGCTTAAAACATGTGAAACTGAGAACAACGTGCACGTTTTGAGACATTTTTGTTTTGTGGTTTAAGCCATTATACTGCTGAATATCAGTGACCGCTGGTTCAATTTTTACTGTAGCTATTTATCCTTTGCAGACACTTAAGACCAACTTTTTATCCACATTTTTGTGCAAAGGATGATCGTAATGCATTTCATAATGATTTACAATCTTATTGAATAATAATAAACGCCAAAACGTGCTGTGTTTTAGCACAAGAAACACACTGGCAATAACAAAAGTTATCATAAGAGCTCTGTGACATCTGCAGAGTTATCACAAGAACTCCGGGACATTTGAAAAATCGGCTATGTGGATAATACAGTCTTAAACGCACCTTTCTGAGGTCTGGTTCTCGACTGCGGATCTTCCTCCATCGTCAGCTTGGTGCCCGCCAGATGTTTCGGCCCTTATCCAAGTACATCTGTAATGGCGGGTGGGCCCACCGTCTTACGGTGTGGAGGTTGATCGCATCCAGCTTGTCTCCTCGCGTCGTAGCCACAGCCAGCTAGACGCCCGCTCAGCAGCCTGGCTCAGCTTCTGGATTGCCCGTCGCCTGTCTCTGCCAGTGGTGCCAACAGCTGTCATCAATCTACATGCAGATTGTGCACAGAACCCTCTAGCGCCTACTTCGATGGGGAATAGCCAAGTCCGCCAACCTCGGTGTCGGCACTGCTCAAGTAGTTCAGTGTACTTGGCCTTCTTCCTCTCATAGGCCTCTTCACATCTCGTCTCCCAAGGTACTGTCAACTCGATGACAACGAGCTTCTTCCCTGTCTCGGACCACAGTACAATGTCTGGTCTCAAGTTGGTCTGGACGATACCCGGGAACACAAGCTTCTTTCCTAGATCGACTGACATATTCCATCCTGTGGCGCCGTCAAGGATCGATTTCTTCTGTGAAGCTTCTGTCGTCGCAGTTTCACCCGGTCTCACAAAGTTGATGTGGCCTGCCTGTGAGTTACTTCTGCGTGGCTTCTTCTTCTCCCCTTCCAGCCAATCGGCAACCTCTCTGAGGACGTTGTCGTGTCGCCAGCGATATCTGCCCTGCGTCAGTGCTGTGGAGCAGGAAGATAAAACATGTTCCAGAGTGCCTGGTTTCTTGCACAGACTGCATGTTGGGTCTGTGATTAGTCCCCATCGGCAGAGGTTAGCTGGAGATGGCAGGAGGTCATGAACTGACCTGAGGAGGAAGGATAGACGAAGTGGTTCATACTTCCAGATGTCTTCCCAGGTCAGCTTCCTTTCCATGGTTTCCCACGTTGTCCATGCACCCTGCGCACCCATCTCTACCGCTCTGGCCTGTCTCTTGTTCTCCTCTTCCTTCCGTACTTCTGACTGTATCAGGGCTCGCCTCTCAGTCTGGTTGGCTTGGCTCCATAGGAGTGTTTTGGTTGCACCAATACCTTGTCGTCCGACAGCCGTTACACCGACGATGTCCTTGTGCATGAGAGAGCTCTCCGCCTGGCTGACAGTCTCTGTCGCTGACCACTTTCTTCCAGTACGGGTAACGATCCCTGCTTCCCGGATCTGCTCATCTGGGGAGTCTCTTAGGGTAAGCACCAGTCTTGTCTTCGCCGTCTTGAATTCTTCTACCAGTGAAGATAGTGGGAGTTGCAGTTTGTTGGTTTTCCCATACAGTCCAACACTGGAGAAACTGGGTGGGATTCCAAGCCACTTGCGAAGATGTCGGCTGGTGATTCTCTCTAAGGCTTCTATTGTTGAGCTGGGTACCTCGTACAGCATCATTGGCCAGATCAGCCTTGGTAGTAAGGCATGCTGGTACAGCCAGGCCTTGAACTTCCCAGGTAGGTTGCTCCGGTCTATCTTCTTCAGCCCGTCTTCTACCTGGTTCTCTAGCTTCTTGACGTTGTCCTTGTCTACTAGGCTGGCATCAAACCACTTCCCAAGGCACTTGATTGGGTTCTTCGTGATGGATGGGATCTCCTCGTTCTGTACTCGGAGCACGAATCTGTCTGTCGTCTTGCCTTTCTTGATAATGAGGGACCTGGACTTTACGGCCTTGAATTTCATTCGGGCCCATGACGCGACGTCTGTCAGTGCTGTCAACATCCATCTAGCCTGGACGTGTGTTGGTGTCGTCAACGTGAGGTCATCCATAAAACCTCGGCTTGATGGGAGGTAGATACCTGACTCTGTCTTTGGTCCGCGGGTCTCTCTAATGGCAGCATTGATGAGCAGATTCATCCCCATGACGAAGAGTACCACAGAAACAGTACATCCGGTGACTATACCTTTCTCCAACATCTGCTACTTCGTCAGCTGGTCACCAACAGAAAACCGAAGCTTGATGCCGTCAAGGTAGCTGGTGATGATTTTCTGGACATGGTTGTCGACATGGTAGTGCTGGAGGGCTGTGTAGATCAGCTGATGGGGAATAGATCCGTATGCGTTGGCAAGATCGAGCCAAACTACTGTCAAGTCTTTCTTCCCCGTCTTCGCCTCTTGAATTAGTTGGGTGATAGCGCTGGTGTGCTCTACACAACCGGAGAAACCAGGTACTCCACCCTTCTGGACTGAAGTGTCGATGTACGCGTTGGTCGTCAGGAAAGAGGTAAGTCTTCTGGCCAGGATAGCGAAGAATATCTTCCCCTCGACATTTAGTAGCGAGATGGTCCGGAACTGATTGACTGTCTTGGAGTTCCTTTCCTTGGGCGTGAATATTCCCTCTGCTTCCTTCCAGGCTTCTGGTACTTCCCCTTTCCTCCAAACCACCTTGAGGAGTCTCCATAGCCTCTTCAGTAGGAGTGGGCACATCTTGTACACTTTGTACGGGATGGCGTTAGGACCAGGAGTAGAGCCCCATCGAGCCTTCTTGACGACGTCCTTCACCTCTCCCAAAGTGGGTTCAGTGGTTACCAGTGGCGTCTCTGGAGGTAAGGCAGGATCTATCCGGTCACAGTCCCCTAGGACGTCTTCTCTGTTGACATCTGAATGCGTATCATGCAGGTACTTCTCAACCTCTTCAAGTGGGGTCTCTAATGTTCCTGAACGCTCTTTGTCAAGCAGAGTCTTTGCAAATTTGTATGGGTTGGCTGTGAACGCAGCTCTCTTTCTTGTTCGCTCCCTCGCTTTTCTCCTCTTGTTCTCAGCTCGCCGCAGAGACTTCAACTTTGTGCGCAGTGTATCACGTAGTTGGGACAGGCCAAGGCGCTGCACTTGTGAGCTGTCTCGGTACTGCTTCTTCAGCTGTCTGATTTCTTTCCTCAGGTTCTCTATGCGGTGTTGCCTCCGGTTCGGCTTTGGAGCCTCCTTGCGTTTCTTTGTTTCTTCAATCCCAAACCTCTCTTTTGCAACAGAGTATACAAGGGTGGAAAGGGTGTGTAACTTCCGGTGTACTGGAACTTGCATGGATGATTCGAGGATGATTTCTATGTCCTCGTCAAACTGTTTCCATGGTGCCTTCTCAGATGCCTTGGGCCACTTGATCTTGGGTGTTCTTGTGGTAGGCATCGGGCGTGGTCGGTCAGGGACGGCCTCTTGCTCCTGTGGTTGGCTGCTAGTGTCCTGCGAGTAATTCAGTAGCTCTAGGAGGGGGTCGTCTTCATTCATCATTGGATCCCGGGTGGCATCGTGCGCTGTCTCTTGAGCGGAGAGTTCATCAGTACTGTGGGTAGTCTCCTGACTGGAGTACTCCCGCGTCTCACTAGCCATACTGGCTATGCGCTGCTCAAGTGGCCTCACGCGCTGGCAACCAGACTTCCCCTGGTGAATGCGTAACCCTCGTTGGTTTTTGCAGATTTGCCACAAGGGCAAGTTACTGTCCCTGGTGCTGGGTTCGTAGTCGATTGGGCAGGCCGTGTCGATTCCATAAAATCCGTCCATGTGAGTCTTTCATCCTCCCCCCCTCTCGGAAGACTCTGGGGGTGTCTTTCATTAGTGGAGTCTGTAGCTTGTCTGTGGGTGTCTTCTCACGAAGACTGCACGTCGGGATGCTACCCCTAGTGCCCCGGTTCCAGTCTGTTCCTGGGGTCAACTGTCTCTCCAGTGTCACCAATCTATTCCTGGTTGCCATCCAGTCTTTCCTAGAAGTCACTGGTAAACCAGATGATCAATGTGGATAATACAGTCTTAAACGCACCTTTCTGAGGTCTGGTTCTCGACTGCGGATCTTCCTCCATCGTCAGCTTGGTGCCCGCCAGATGTTTCGGCCCTTATCCAAGTACATCTGTATTGGCGGGTGGGCCCACCGTCTTACGGTGTGGAGGTTGATCGCCTCCAGCTTGTCTCCTCGCGTCGTAGCCACAGCCAGCTAGACGCCCGCTCAGCAGCCTGGCTCAGCTTCTGGATTGCCCGTCGCCTGTCTCTGCCAGTGGTGCCAACAGCTGTCATCAATCTACATACAGATTGTGCACAGAACCCTCTAGCGCCTAAATAGGTTAGCCGGTGCTTTATGATTGCAATTTTGCATTATAATTAGGTAATTATGTATGGCAAGGATGAAGACCAGAAATAAACAGGTCAAAACTTGTGAATTGGCAAGTTATTTCGAAATTTTACTGAAAACTACCAGATTTGAAGCAAGAGGCGATTAAAATGGCCTGTGAATTAGGCTTTGACACATAATACAAGATGTAAGACAAGCTTAATCATTAAAGTTTAATTTAGCACCTAAAACTCATTTTTGAACGATGAAAATAACCATTTTAACGAGTGTTTTTGTAGTATATACAGATGTTTTCCGACGAACTCCGTGACAGTTATCACAAGAACTCCTGAACAAGTTATCATAAGAACTCCATCCTTCGTGTAACACTTCCTCCCCCGTGAGAACAGCTACGGATGAATACAAGCATACTTAGTGTTAAGCTTTATTTGGCTTAATTAATATTAACTTTATTTCGTCACTTTACAAGTCCATTTGCACAAACGCGGTTCTATGAAGCACTATGAAAAATAGAAGGCTGCTATGAACGGACTTTGATATATCATCAACTTTTGTTTTTCTATGAAAATTTACACAAGGAATTTCTAAGAAATACAGCGCTTTCATTGGATGACAAATAAAGCTGGACACTAATATTATTTATTTCAGTTTCTTAATTTGGTTCTACGCATCCTCTTATGTATTGTAAATATAAAGAAAATCAATTTATCAGAAAAGAATGCGCCGTACGTTATCATTGATATTTTGTGCGCCATACGTTATCATTTCCAGAAAAATGCCCGATATTAATATTTTCAGCGGTTATTCTAGCCAGAATGGACATGAATGCTTAGATGACAACATATTACAACTTTTTTAAAGTCAGTGGTTTCAGTTAATATACATATATGTAAAAGAAACAGTGAATTTTAGAGAAAAAGCCGTACGTTACCACGATCAAACCGGTGGAAAATTCTCTCGCTTCGAATCTGGTGACGCGCATTTCAGATGAAGTACAGGACGAAACATCATAAAATAAAATCCTGTGTGCCAGGAAAATTGTGTAGAAGGTTGTTATATGAACTTTTACATTAGAACTTCACGAATTTCAGAGAAAAAAGGGAAAAACCTACTTTTTGGCTGCATCCGCCATCTTGTTTGTTTGGGTAACGAACGGCGTGATTCTCCCCCGTGATTAAACTATTCAATGCAGCAATACAAAAATAGATCCTGACATGGTAGTTAATATTTAATGGGCAAAACAACAACAACAACAAAAATAACGTATAAACTGATAAGGGATACATATCTTCCCATATACGAATTCTCAAAATGACCTTGCCCTTTTATTCAAGTATTAACCTATTTTAAATTTTCATGTTTCGTTCATTAAACACAATAAAACACACTCTTAGAATTCACGTTTATTGCGCTTTATCAGTTTAGGATTGTGGGGAAAAACCTTGTTCGGATAGAAATTAGATTAAGATTTTAAAAAAATGTCAGCGTTCGAAAATTTCATTACAAATTTTAACAGAAATACTATACACTATGTGTTGTTTTTGAAGATTGTTTTGACTAACTATATAATAAATGGTTACATTAAACAAGTCATCATAGGTGCTTAAGATAATTGGCGATTCTGCTATAGCCTCGATTCAAACACGACGGCCATTCCTTAAAATCAGATTTATGAATTTAAGATATAACTTGATTTTGGATTCAATTCTTCATTTACATTTCTTATGTGTAAATACACTAAGTATTTTATTTAGGTTTATTTAACGTGTTCAAATCATTAGTTACCTGGCTGGATTCATCATTGCCTTTACAGCTCATACAATGTTTTTTTTTTCCTTTTGTTTTTTGTTAACTCATAACCAGCTGCATTTCTGTTTATAAATGTATAAATTTGAAAAAGTCAATTCACTGTCAACATTACTTAAATGTCAAAGCTACCAGCAGCATAGAGCTTTGTCAGACGATGGGCTGGTTCTTTGCTTGTTACAAAGGCTTAGCACTTCTGGATTTGCATATTACGATTAACTCTCTGTCAAGAACACATTCATATTTCTAAATCTGCGTTTCTTGAAAATGACCTATATTGTATTTTGAGCCTGCCCTTATGTCCTCTACCATTTTTATTCAGTGCCGTCTAAGTACCCTGTTTGTGTGGCTGGGTTGAGTCGAGAGTTGCATTCTGTGAACGTTACCTTGCCTTGATGATCTTTGTTCTTATTTTTCATCGCATTTGATTATTTTAAGGAGACATTGTACTATGGTTATTTGTTTTGAATGGCGACTTAGTAAATTACAAATACTACATCTTTATGGTCTTGTATTCATTCAAAGAAAACGATTAAACATTTCTTTAATCACTGTTCGACAGTTGATAATTTCAAGATGTTGTAGACTTTGAGATTTCAGTTGTTAATTATTCCTGGCAAGCAAATTTAGATAATTCGAATTTTATTGACACATCTGACCAATTTCATTACGAGCATACATAGTCCTTGTACTAAATGTCAATCTGCAAATATCGTTGGGAATTTCTTGGTAATTCTCAATTAATAAAACGAGTAGGACAGTTTTTATGTATTTCTATATTACAGTTGCATCATTCTGTATGTATATGTGTCCTTTTTGACAGAATAATGTTACAACCAACATTTTAAAACATAGATGTCGTCGAACATTGCAGATATATACATTAACATTTTTGCTAACTTTTCTATAAGTGTCACGATATTATTTTTAATTGTCGGTAGATTGCATGCCTACTTCTTATAGGAATAAATATTTTCTCTTAAACATTAACGTATTGAATGTATCAAATATAAAATTGTGACTCGAAATTTATCAAAAATAAGTTTAGGCATTTTCCCATTTCAGTATTTGTAAAAATGTTGTGAATAAGAAGGCAAATTCAAGAAAAGAAACACTATATAGTACCCTTAAGCAATGATATGGTGATTGTATAATCTTAATGATAATAATTGATCTGTCAGAGTTTATTTCAGTATTATTCTGCCATATGCGTTTTAAAAATAAGATATGCAAATTACAGGTCATGTACTTTTAACAATTTCGACATCGTTTACATTATATTAGATAATTGTTTTACCAAGCAGATGATTGCACGATCGATAACAGAACAATAGCAAAGGTGCACGTGTTTCTACATCAAAGTTGACGATACTATTAATCATATTTGACAGATAATCGAGATTATCATATATATCATGCTTCACAAAAACAATAACAAATGCAGCTTGCAGTAATCAATCGCTTATCTTGAAGATTTGTTTCAGTATACAAGAATTGCAGGTAATGTTTCCATTCTGGTATTTAGGCATCAATCACTGGTTATAATTCTGAAAACACCTCCGGATTTCATTTTCGAATTGTTCGAGATATGTAAATAGTACATAAATGTTTTACAACGGATAAACTCTCCCGCTGAAGCTATAACAGATGAAAATTAAAACATTTATGTCTCTGGATTATTTATAATTATTAAAAACACAGACACGTTATTTTTGAAAACGCAATTATGTATTTATTATATTTAGAGATAACAAAGACCCGAAAAATAGATAAAATTTTATTTTAAATTCAAGAATGAAAAGTATTTTTTGAGCCAAACATTATAGTGATGAAAAAGAAGGTTTCATAACTTTCCTGTATAGAAAAGTCCTTAGTAGAATTTCTTATTTCGGATAAAATTTCTTCTTATTTCATTGACCTTTTTCATTTTTTAACATGTACTCTTAATTACTTTCAGTGTTGTTTTTATTCGCGTTTTTTGTTGTTTTTTCAGGGTTTTTTTGTGATTTTTTTTTTATTTTTTTTTTTATTTTTAAAATTAATTTCACGATATACTTCTCAGATATCAAGTTGAAATGATATTTATAATGCATTTGAAAACGTTTCTGGAAGTCAGAATAGCCGATTAGCTAAAGGACAGTTTTACCAAGAAAGTAAACGGAGGAATATCATAATTGAGTAATAAACTGAGAAATAAACTTGAAGAGTCTAGGGGGCAAGGCCATTTATCAACTATTTCAAAAGATATATGGCCGCCGATTATATACGTTAAAGTCATGAAAGAAGGTGCATGCTATTATTTATAAGTATTAAATATAATAGTTTCCTCCTTTAAAGATATTACATCATCCAATTACATTAGAGATCTGTATCTTGTTTTCACCTAGGACATAACTAAACGTCGCTGTGTATTTTATAACGTGTTCTTTGTTTCTGTATTAATTGATAGAATTATGACCAA